CCCTACACGACGCTCTTCCGATCTCCCCAAAACCCCAAAACCCCAAAACCCCATCCGTTAACATTTGAATTAAACATTGAATAAATAAAATAAAAATGAATAGAAACGATCAAAATCTAAAACTAGCAAACAGAGAAAATCTAAGAAATTATTCTGCAAGCTAACTTTAAAGTATTAATTTCTTGTAAAACCATTCGCACAACCAAAGCTTGCCTATTCAAGATTAGTCTCAAATTAAATAAAATAAATTTAGAAATAAAAACTTGCTAAAAAACATTATCAAGAAGCAACAATATGATAAGGAAAATTTACATCGTTTGAACTAAATTGACCATGATAGATTAAACTAAGATTTCGCTTAGCTTTAGAAGTATGATTTAATTGCTAAGAAGAAAAATATGCTGCCTCCAAGAACTAGCAATACAAATACAACCAGTAATGTCTCGAGAAATGAAAGCCATCAAGTTACAGTTGGCATTCCCGCTGCTAAATTTCATGATTAGACAAGAAGTTTGAATTCAAATATAAATGTATCTGGGTTTAATGTTGCTTGCTCTGTTAATTTTGAAGCATAAAAATAATAGTAAACTCATTGTACTAATTCAAAGCCTTATCTAAGCTTTAGATCACAGTCACAGTAAAATAGACTTCGTAATGAGATATCTGCTTCTGTAAATACACAAGCATCAAATCAGAGTATATATTAAACAGAAAAAATTCTTAGCTAATTTCCTATGTAAAATCTTAAGCCAGTTATTGCAAATAATCTCAAATAAATGAACAAATCTCCTTAATTGATTTAAACTAAAGACTACAACATGCAGTAGAAATCTGTCGAACAGTTCATGATGATGCTGAACGGCTATATAAACTAGAAAAATCACAGAGTGCCTATTACCTCCAATATTTCCTCTCAGCACTCTACTTTAATGGCTAAGCTGCCTGATTTATCGCTTGATAATTTAGTAACAAAAGACTAGAAGTAAAAACAGAGAATTATTTAAAAATCTAGTCTTGCCTCAATTCTTAACAATGGATTAAATGCCTAGCAAGCTGAGATCTATAATCATAAGAAATTCCAAAACAGAAATCTTCTAAACTCCAGACTCGCAACATTTTAAAAGCCTTATCCTACATAGAAAGAAACTGCTGTACCGCTAATAAACTAGAATAAATACATTAACTCCCTAACTGAAAGATAAAGCAATCCTGATATATAATTTCAAGATTTGTAGATTATTAAGTAACTACAAATCTAAGAACCTCAAGTTAATAGTAACTAATATGTACTCAAGATGCATAGAAATCTTTCTGGCAACAATAGAAGTGATAATTAGTCCTTTAATCTGGTTCAATCTAATAAAACATCCAATAAAATTAATCATCAAGAACAATTAAACCTAAATCAACTCAGTGGTGAATTGACCTAAACGTTGACTCAAGCATTGGCAAATAAAAGATCAGCTTTGATTACCAACTACAACTATACTAATTCAAATGTATCTAACAATAGACTAATGGAAATGATAAAAAATAATGATAAAATAGTAAAAGTTGATCAGAGCATAGGTTTAGATTACAACAATTGCGAAAGAAGCTATAATAAAATAAGTCACATTATTTTCAATGAGAAGTTTGTTCATAAACCCGCCTAAGATGAAAAGCCTAATGAGTTTAGATTAAATAATGAAACAGATATCTAATCTGGAGATCAATCCTTCATTGATGGTGGATGCATTTATGAAATAGAAAGATAGGATTGCTGATAATCTGATATAATTAAATTAACTATCTTATACTTTTAATGATAACAAAGTTGCATTTTATGAGATATCTTCGTTAAGGGGTTTTGGGGTTTTGGGGTTTTGGGGTTTTGGGG